TTGATAATTTTCACTAGTATCTTGATTTTTGCTGCCAAGTTAAGCAAATATAGTGCTTTTGGTGCATTAAATGCACTATCTTTAGGGGGAAAAAAAATTTTTTAGTAGCTTGATTTCAGTTGTCAGAGTTGAAATAATTTTTTTTTTTAATTTTATTGTTATTATTTATTTTTTTATTTTTGGATAAAATAGGTGTCCACATTAATAAATAATATATTATATTAATATAATAATATATAGTATATGAAATAAATATTAATATTAATATATTAATAAGTAATATATTAAACAATATATTAATATTAATAAATAATAAAATAATATATTATATTAATAAACAATATATTAATAAAGAATATTATATTTATAAATAATATATTAATAAATATTATTATATTATTAATAACAAATATAGTTTAAAAACTTTAATCACTTTTACTTGCATGTTTTTGTTTTTGCATTTCTAAAATAAAAGCATTCTATCCAAATATATTTTCAAATTCAATAAAATAAAAATAAAACAAAACAAAACAAATTTTTTAAAAATATAAAACATAAAACATTAAATACACAATAATATCAAACGATCCCTGAGCAATAAGTATTTTGCTGTCCACGATGCCTTCAATCTTTTCTTCATTTTGAAGCCAAATAATGATTCAGATATTTTCATGATAATTGTCTATCTATCCACCTAATTTCTTTATTGGAAATCACGTTGAGAAAACTTTAAAAAAACAAAGAGCTTAAATTGTTATGTTGTACTATGATTGAATAAAAGCTTGCCGAAAAATGATGGTTGTGGACGTGAATGATGGGAGAAATAATCATTGTAAACCAAAAAGAACCGAAAGAACCCACAAATTAAGACAAAACCAAAGTTTGGGGGGTCACAAAATTTAACTTGACATGAAAGATTACAACAAAAATCAATACTTGTGTTTGATGAAAATGATGTTGTCAAAGTGATTGGAAATGATGCTTATCAGGAAACTAGTTTTTTGTTTATTAAATGCTCATTTTGACTGCACCTCTCAATCATATTTGGCCTTATTTTTCCATTATAGGATTTTTATGTAAGATATTTATGTAAGATTGTTCACAGGAAGTGATGTAATTCACAAAGTATCTTTTCCTTGTTTTACACAAGGAAAATTGTATTCTTTTTGTTTTTAATCTTTAGTCTTAAACCTTCAATTTTTTCTAGCTTTCCCTTCCGATTATAAAGTCCATTGACATTGTAAGAAATCGTGTATTTGATGACGGGTGCATATAATTTGGTATTACAGTTATGATTAAAAAAAAAAAACTAGAATTGAAAAGTAAGTTTAGTGAAAAAAAGTTAATGGAGGGCGCAGAGTAGTCAGAAGTATCCCATTACATTAATCGTTCATATAAACATGTTTCTCAAATCCATTGTTCAAATGTTTAAGTATAAGAATGTTTATATAATATATGTATATATATTTTGAATAAAAAGCATCATATAAAATATTTTAGTAAAATTTTATTTTGATTTGTAACCTTGTAATTGTTTTAGTTAAATTACCATTCATAGAAAATGTAGCAGATGTATACGAAAATTCACTTTAGGATGTGCATGCTAAAGAGACGTGCCGATCTCAGACAAGCAAGAGTTTCAAGACTCAAGTGTAGTAAACTATGCACTTATTGTAAGTATAAACCAACTCTTAATAGCATGTGTGCAGATCTATAACTGAAATTGGTCAAGAAAAATGTACTGATGAATGGCAATCACAATGGGCATAAATCATCAGCAGGATAGCCAAGGAAAAGAGAGGCAGCAGGATGTGACGTAGCACCGTCTTTCACTTGTCAACTTTTTTTTTTCTATCAAAATTTGGTCAATATCAGAATTCGGCCCCCCATAGTAGAAAAATCAGACAAATTATGAGAAAACATTGAAAATTTCACCAAGGTAAAAGCAGAATAGAGGCTTGTCGAGCCTCCGACTGTGATGATTAGTCATGCATAACTCTATATGCTTAGGTGCATAGGGTGGTACAACTTAGGTTTTACATTATCATTTTTTTTTCTAACTTTTCCCTATTGCAAATACATAAAGCTTGCACGATCAGTCTGCTAATTCTGTCACCAGCGATCTGTTGCAACCCGTAGCCTGGACCTAACAAACTCATTGATATGATTGAGAATTTCATTTGTGGAGCTACCTCTTTTACCATGATTTCTGCCAGCATCATAAATGAACTCTCATCTCCAATGCCTCATCACACAATTGATGTTACCAGAGAAATTACCCCAAGACCTGATCTCTTTTCTTCTCCTTCTTTCTTTCCCCTTGTCAATGAAGGTTTATAAGAAGACTACGACTTTAAGAAATTGAGTGTAACTTTTACTGCTTTTCTTGTCATTAAATGAAAAATTTTGAAGAAGCATCCAAACGGACGAAACCTACTCGTTCAAGTTACCAATTAAAACCAGCAGGACACTCATTTTCAATAGGGATCTAACTCTTGCCTTACCCCCAATGCCATACCAAAAGATAGGTCAAACACATAAATGTAAATAAGACTATTGTTACATCAAATACATTTTCTACCTTCATCATGTCTTTAATGGCTTTAACACTATCATGAGTTTTCTGTTTTCTTTTTTAACATCCCTTTGCAATTTGCATATAGAATATATGTTTAAAAAAAAGAAAAAAAAATAATTTTGCAGTGTTAGAAATCATAACGGAATCATTCTCCAAAAATATTAATATTTAAACTTAGATATGCTAATAGTAATTCTTTACAAATGATGGTAGAAATCAACTAAATTTTGAAACACTCACTCAAACTTAAATTACATATAAAATTCAATCAATGATATGCTTTCATCAAGACTCAAAATGTGTTCTCATGGTAGAGTTCAATAATAAAAATTCAGCAACTAGAAATATCAACTTATCAGAAAATCCCTGCTGAGCTAAAAGACTCACTATATTAGAATAACGATGGCAAGCGCAGTACTCGAACATCTAAAACAGTAACGTCCACTTGCATACCGGGCTCCATGGTAATTGAAGTGATTTGCTTCATCACATCTGGTGTGCTATACAAATCGATCAATTGCTTGTGGATGCGCTGCTCAAATCTGTCCCATTCAATAAAAATTTAATATAAACATGCTCAAATACACTATTACATAATTATTTTATAAGATTTGGTTTCATTAATATTTTTAATTTACTTTTAATTTATTATTTAAAAAATATGAAAACATTAATAAAATAAAATTTAATTTTCAAATCAAATATTTAGTAGGTTTAAAATTTAAATTCTAAATCTTAGGACTCCTTTTGTTTTCTCTAGATTGTAATCTCTTTGCTCTTTGTAAAAAAGAAAAAAAAAAATACCTACACCATAAAGAACCATCCTAGTTGTGATACAGAGAACTTTTATAGGCATTCTAACCAGTCCATTAACCCTATGCTCTCTACCTTTAGCACCATGGATCAAATCATGCACTGCAAAGTACAGTTCGACCCAAATTTCAGTTATAACAAAAATCAAATTGTTTTTAAAGACATAAACTTAACAAAGCATTTTTTTTAACAGATATGATGATACCATTCTGCAGCTTTGCAGAAAGTGTGATCCTTATCTTAAGAGGCTCGTGTATTTCCTCATTCTAATGAAATTAAAAATAATAGTGAAAGTATGATTAATTATTATAATAATAAAATTAATGAGTATACATATTTTGATATAAATATAACAGTGATGATTAAGTGAATTGTAGTAAGAAAAAATAATCATTAAAGATATTAAATTAAAATATATATATATATAATAAAAATTTTAAATTATTTATAATTCATAAAATTATTAAATAATTTAAAAATTATTACATTATTTTATATCAAATAATAGTTTTGATAATAAATAACTAAAATTAATTAATTAGTTTATTTATTATATACCAATAAATTTTACTTATTTATTATTTTATAATTGTTAAATAAAAAAAAAAACAAAAAAAAGAAAACTTTATTTTGTAAGGACAATTTTATTTTTATAATTAAACTTCAAAGATAAAGAAAAAAAGAAAGTTAAAAAAAAACCAATGTGGTGAAACAACTAGAGTAAAATTGGCCGGCAGTTGGCCGAGGCCAATCGCCCCACCCGTATGCTCCATTTGGATCTCTTTAATGCATTTGACACTATTTTCATGGCAATCGAAACCCCACTAGAGAATTCGATGAAATCCAAACAAGCATTTAATAGGTTTCAAGTGTGCATATGCCGTCATGTTTTAATTGTAGTTTCTTTTAATAACTAAATCTATATTCATTAAAAAATATATATGAAATAAAATGAAAAGGAAAAAAGTATTGAATTTGAAAGAATATGATTACATGGCTTTACGAGGATTTTTCAAATCGAGTTTGCTTCACCTCCAAGATTTTGAAATTAGGTCAAAATATTTTTTTTATGTGTTAGTTTAATTTATATATAGGTGATAGGTCAAAGTAAGGGTTTTTTTTTGGGTTAATGTGTGATTTAGTCTCGAATTATATCACTTTTTAAGATTTAATATTTTTTAAAAAATACAAGATTAAATATTAAAACTTTGTTTTTGTCAAATATTTTATCTCACACATTAATTCTATTAATAGTAAATTAATGTGACAAAAAAATAATAATATCATGACACATGTCACATCTGCATTTTGATCAATAATGTTAGTTAATGATACAAAATATTTGACAGAAATAAAATTCAAATATTTAATTATGAATTTTTTTATAAGTATCACATTGTTAAAAATATTATAGTTTAGGGACCAAATTCATATTAACCCTTTTTTAAATTAAAAAACCTTTTAGTATTGGACTGGTCCGTTTCTGAAACGTGGGTCAAACCCCAAATTACTTCCAAAAAGCCCAAACCCCATCTTTATACTCAACCGTTTGGGTCAAATATTTGCAAGCACACCCGCAAAACAGTTGGTCCAGCAAAAAAACCCTAACCTATTAAAAAACTCAGCGCCGACATGTATATCTTGTAGAAAGATTTCTTTCTCATTTCTCCATCGGTTTTGAGAAAACAGGCCGCAGCTTCACACTTCCAATCTCTCACTTCTTCCAGGTTTCCTTCTTACTTTTCTTTTTCTCCGTATTTTTTATGTGTAAAAAACTTGCATTAGAATAGGGGCTTAGATTGTTCTTTATTCTGGGTTTTCTTTCTGATTTATTGTAGTACGTTTTCCTTTTTTTATTTGTTGTAAGGATTGATCTTCAATCAAACAAGTAAAAACCCACTAATCTTTAGATTAAAACCTTTTCCATTCCTGCTATATATTCTATTACTGGAGTCGTTTTATTCTTTCATCGGAAAAGGATGAGCTTTCTGTTTCATATGAGTCTATTTCTTACTTGTTTTGGATAATTATCGATTTTGAGCTTTGTAAGGAATATGGGAAGTTTTGCTCTTAGCTTTAGTAGTTAGAACTTAGTGATTGAATCCCATGTTGTATTTTATTTCCATAGTTTAAAGATTTTGAAATTTTTGGTTTAATTTTGGATGAGAAGTTCTTATTTATTGGAATTGATTTTTCCGAACAGAAGCAGAAAGTCAAGTTAAGAAGAATGGCGTATGCTGCAATGAAGCCGACCAAGCCTGGTTTGGAGGAGCCCCAGGAAGAGATTCACAAGATAAGGATTACTCTCTCCTCTAAGAATGTGAAAAACCTCGAGAAAGGTACAATTTTTGGTATGCGGAAACGATTATCATTTCATTTATTATGTTCTTGTCCCTAATAACAAATTTGCTTTTCCTTGGTGTAATTTCATATAGGATGTTTCTCAATAAGATAGTACTATTTTGTTGATGATATGGATTCAATTGATACACATAGCATTGGTTAGTCTAATGTATTTCTGTTTTATCAACAGTTTGCGCTGATTTGGTTCGTGGTGCCAAGGATAAGAGATTGAGGGTTAAGGGACCAGTGAGAATGCCCACCAAGGTTCTTCACATCACGACGAGGAAGTCTCCCTGTGGTGAAGGTATTTACTTACCTTGCATGTGACAGTCTCTGATGATATTTTGTAGCTTATGTTAATTGCTTTTATTTATACTTTTTGTTTCGTATCTTGATAGCATGTTTTAAAAACCTACTCTGTACTTAACCAATTGTATAGTTCCTTTTTTCTAGGAAACTTTCTGGTCTGCTTGGTAGTCAGAGCTTCATGTAGGATTATATGCATATAACGATTTTATGTGTATGTTTGCCTGGTCGTCTTCCTATTTTGCTGTTAAAAGGCTCCACCATAAATCTGAATTATACATCCGTACATTTTTACTATTTTATTTTGGAGCAATCATCAAGGAATATCATTTGCTACCTTTTTGCATGTTTCAACATATTGAACTTGTCTTAGTAATAGAGGCTTCGAATGCTTGAGCTACTTGGTGCAAATTGTCTTGTTTTTCTACAAAAATGGAGTTTATATATGTTAAAACGTTTTCTTTTTGGTTGGATGCCTTCTGGTTTACTAATGAGTATGATATTGTAATTGTTAGGATTTGCCTTTTAACTATATCTGTTGATTTTATATGTTGGTTACGGCTGGGGTTTGATATGCATGCGGATAAAGTTTGAGTATGCGTAGTGTTTCATTGTAACATGAGTAATTTGTTTTGAAAATTTACAAAACTATTTGTGTGCATTGCAGGAACAAACACATGGGATCGATTTGAGCTCCGAGTTCACAAGCGAGTTATTGACCTTTTCAGCTCTCCTGATGTGGTCAAGCAGATCACTTCTATCACCATTGAACCTGGTGTTGAGGTGGAGGTCACCATTGCAGATTCTTGAATGTTCATCAATAGTTTTTGGACCTTACCTAGTTTTAGTTGATTAGTAGATTTTCATCTAATGTGGCCCTCTCTGCTCTGAACGATCTATTAGTGGTTGTCGGTCTTCTGTAGTTTGTGTTTTCCAATACCAGTGTTGAAGCTAAGATTCTATTCTCTTGTGTGGCACCAGATTTTGTTTTCTTTGTATTACCTAAAGATTATATTTGGATGTTTTAATTTAATGCATTATTTGACATTAAACCAAGATTCATCATTGGCTACTTATTGCTTGGGGGTCGGCAATAGCATTATCATGGAAAATTATTTGCACGCTATAGTAACCAAGACTTCCAACACCAAGAATCATATCTTTCAACAAATTCGTCTATTATGATTAATTACAAGTCAAATACACTTCAGGCATGCAGAATTTAAAGAAAGGGGGAGAGACGAGTGATTGACCAGCCACGCGAGGTGGTCGACAACTTACTAAAGAGTTAAAATACAATGAACTAAACCAGAATCGTATTAGCTGACAACTATACATTTAAGTTGCAACGAAGTTAAGAGATGCACTGCCCTATCGACCACAGCATTTTGCCAAACTCCGGTACGACCAATATATTGATGGAAGCCCTTAACATTTGCAGAATTGCAGTCAATGTCCCCATGACTGAAGCGTTCCCATCTGTCTAAACCTCTAAAATTTAGCCTCACAGAACGAAAGATATGAATAAAATTTACCATATTAATTGTTATCTGGTATTTTCTACAGGCACTCTCTGATAAATGAATGACAACATGAAAGAACAGGAAGAGAATAAAGTTTCTTTATAAGAAAACATTGCCATCTTGTCCGAGTCACACACAACAAAGTTTAAGGGTATGGTGCAAAATCAGCTAAAAGCACAAATGCATTCAACTCACTCTTGCAATAATTTGAATTGCAGGCATATGGGAGCTCACTGCTGATGATGACTGCTATCACTAGCTTGTTCCATCTCTTCCACATCACCAAAGCGTTGATCATTGATTTGGAGCTCCAAGATTTTGCAAAAATGGGACAATGAGACAAGCCCAAGAAGAAAAGCAACGAGGAAAAGTGCAAAGTTATGCAAAAAAAAATTGTTGAAGTATAACAATGACAAGCTAGATAAGAAATTCCTGTTAGAGATGTTCGATCTAACCATAGCCCTAAAATTTGTTGTTGACTACAATAAATAATAGAAGACATGCTAAATGAGACAAGCCAAACATGGTAGACAAAAGAGACGCCATCAAAAAGAATAGTAAGCATTCAAAAAAAAATTACTCTGAAAGAAAATTAAAACAGAATAACAATAGCAGACAACATATACACAAAAACAAAAATGCTTTTAGAAAAATTTCAGTTCAAAGGGAAATAATAGATAATACTGACAAAATTAATTTATAGCCAAATAGAAATGGATTACACGAGACCTCCAAGTGCCTTGTAATGAACAGACACTAGCATAGCTCAAGCACTGTCCGAACTAGGTCATGATTACCATTTGAATGACCAATTGACTTTGTCGGATTCTGGGGAAAATGCCATTCCAAGTCATCACCCTCTGGAGATACAATATGTAATTAGAGATGTATAGAACATCCAAGCATATAAAGAAGGCAATCCAGAAGGTATCAATGTTGTCTACCCCATACCTCCAGATTCATCTTCCAATTGATCAGCACTGAAAACCCAATTATGTCCTTCTTCTCCTTCTTTAACACATAAAAGAAAACAGTAAGTTACCAAGCAACCAATGAAGGAAGCATGCCCATACAACAGTAAAAAAAAAAAAAATTCTCAATTGACAACTCCACAAGGAAACAGGGTGACAGAACTCACCTTTCATAGGCTCTGGACTTAGATCAGCACACTCACAGAATATCTGAAACAAAGTATCCACTTGCATGGAACAAATGAATATAAAAGTCAGCATTCACCAGACTAAAGATCAAAACAGCATAATAACATTCTACACACTAGTAGAGGAAAAAACTAAAATATACGCACAATGGCTAGCATCTGAAGGAATAAGCCTCGTCTCTGTGACCTTGGATAAATCTAAAACCTCATTACATTCCGAATCCAAGTCCTCAGACTCATCTTCATCAGCTTCAGTTTCAATCTTCAGACAAAAACCATTAATCAGACATGTATAAAGGGAGAAAGGTGCATACTAGATCAGGGCACCAGCAGCTTAACATGGGGGAAAAAGAAAAAAGAAAGAGAAAACTTTCAATAAATGAAAAATACTACATGCGCTTATTAGGAAGCAAAAATGCATATCCCAGTCAAAATGTACAGAAAAGTTGACCAAACAGAAAATGAAAATAGATAACACACTGCATTTTAAATTTACAAACTTTAAGATTTATTGATAATAAAAAGTTGGTCATCCTAAATTAGAGTTTAGAGTTTTCCTGGTCCTTCCTATATTTTAATTTTGTTTCCACCCATATTTTGGAAAAGCTCAATGAGACAAAATGATGTTTTATAAGATTGTGCTGGCGGCTACATTCCACATTGAATTCGGTACCTCAATATCATGTCAGTTTAAACTAAGAAATAACTAGCAAGTTTGGAGCCATTGCATTGCCTGTTTCATCAGCACCAATCCATAATAAATTTTATTTTCCGTGGGCTTCTTTTCACGAATCATCGAAATTTAAACTAGCAGACAAGCAGTCAAACAGCCATAAAGAAACAAAACGATAATATTGAATAAAAAAGAACTTACTGCAAAATACAAATTTAAATTTTAGAGTTTTGATAAACTGAAGGCAAAGCATGAGAATGATTAGTTGATAAAATCATATTACAAAACCTAACATAACTTAATAAGAGCAACAGGAAGTGTGTGTTATGAGTAAACAAAGGAGAAATAATAATAATAATAATAATAATAATAATAATAATAATAATAATAAAACCTGAGCGTAAATACAGGGAGAAGAATAGGCCTCCGGGTCCCTTGAAACGGCATGCAGCGACAAAGACAAGAAATTAACGGCGTCGCCCCTTGCTCTGTCCACGTCAGTCAGCCAAACCACTTGCCTGCAACAACCCCAAAATAAAAGGATAAATTCTCAGTTTAAATGCATTAAAATGATGTTGATTACATGCAAAAATTCGAATAATTGTAGAGAGATTCGAAGGTACTTGGTGGTGATGTAGACAATGCCAGGGGATTCCGGGGCACGATTCCCGATTGCAACGGAGACAGAAGGTTGGACGTGAACAAGTTACTCGCCATTATCTGTATCGAGAACTGGCTCTCCAGCATCGTTGCCGGGTCTTGCCGTGAACTGCCTAAGCCCTACCACCACTCTCTCTGGCTTTCATCTGGTGAGTTTTTCTAGGGTTTTCTCGTCAGTGGGGGTGGAACAGTAATGGTCGGGTTTTTTATTTTCGGCCTGATATTGGGCGGTGTTGTTATAACTTAAACCGACGCAACGTGCCACGGTCTACCCCAACGTTTGCTTTCACTTTTTGAGTTTCACAATTTTATCTTTTAATAAAAATTCTTCGATGACGTGAAAATTTATATCTCAAAATTGATTTTAGTATAAATATAGGTTGCATAATTTTTCTTTTGGATTATCACATTCTTCACACTTAAGCAAGAGCTCTCCCACTTCAAAGAAGGCTTATCGTCACCGATAGGACATCATTAGTTCTCTAAAGTTGATTCTCATATTAAATATTATAGTTTACACTTATTTGTAAGATATTTCATGTAAAATAAAATCATAAAAATTTAATCTATATTAATTTATAAGATATTTTATATGAGATAAAATCATGAATGTTTAATTGATTAAAATAAATAATATTTTATAAATTATTATAGATCATGATATCTTATATAAAAATCGATTATGAGATATGAGCAATGTATAATTGAGAATAATGGGCTTTTATTTGAGTAGATAAAATGTTATAGTTTTAGAAAACAGATATAAATTTCATATTAATTATGTATTAAAGTTGATTTTAAAATATAAGTATTTACGTTATCTTAAACTTAGAGGATAAAATAATAAAATTTAATGGATTGAAATAAATAATATCTCACAAATTTATATAAATTATGATACAATACCAAAATTTATATATATTGATAGTTAGACACTTTGATAATGATATCTCATAAATTAATTTGAACCGTCATACAAACGCGTGGAAGCTTGTATCCATTAATGGCAAGACACTTTTTATGCATTTCAATAAAACATTTTCTTCTTTATTCATCGTAAATTAAGTATTTTAATTTTTATCTACTACCCAATTCTTTTAATTATTTTTCCTCTTTTTTTTCTTAAATCTTTTTTTTTTTATGGAGAGTTAAATACTAAAAAATAGTTTTTATTTTTTCCGCCTAATGTAATATAATAGACTAGACCTGTTCATGAGTTAGGTCGAGTCAGATTTAGATTAAATTTGATATAATATTTCAGTATTTTAAATAAATTCAAGTTCAACCTAGCTCGATTTTTAAAGTCTTATTTTTTGTTCAAACTTATTCCTACATGAAATAATAAAGTCCAAACATATCCAAAACATTAGTATTTAAAATTTAAAAAAAAAAATTTTTAAGTTATCAATTTAACTAATTTATTAATTTTAATTAAATTTATAACTCATTTAAACTTGAGTTCAATTTAATTATATTGAATGCAATTTAAAATCAGATCATTCTTTTGTATAAAAAAATAAATTTTATCATATTATAAGTAATAAAACAAATGAGTTGTATTTATTATAAAAAATAACACATATTAACTTTGTCCCATTATAATAAAAATATTTTTTAATTTTCAAACAATACCCGGATTTTAAATGGTAAAACCTAATCTTAATTTTATTTTTTAATCGAATCTTATTTATTTGTTCAAATATATTTAATGAATTTAATATTTATATCAAATCTTTCAAAATTTAAGATAAATTTTTAAATTTGTACGAACAGCTCGAATCAATAAGAAAGTCTATAACAGACCTTTCCTGCCTCCCCGCTAAGCTTTCTTATATTTGGAGAATGAAAGAAAATTGACTTTTTCCTTTCCCCCCGAATCTTTTGATTGTGGTGAGTTCAAGGGCTCATTCTAAAAAATTAGTAATATGAAACATTTTTTAAAATCTAATAAAAATAAAAAAATAAAATATATAATAGCCTTTCAAATTCATTTATAAAATTAAAAAATTATATAAATAATCGAACTCTTTTTATATCGTTTAATTTTACCTTAAAACTAAGATTCCTTCAACAAATAACTACAGAATCAACAGCATCGCGATCCTGAATGACATAATTTTTCACTGCAAAACGTTGCAACCGAGAGAAAAAGATACAACTTAAAATGAAACTAAATCGAATGGCAGGAACTCAACTTAAAATGTGTAGACCCCATTACCCATTTGACCAAACAGTAATCAGACATTCTATTATTACAAAAGTAAATGTCATTAAGGTTGTTAATAGAGTATTTTTGGACACAAAATGCCTTTAAAAACACCATAATAGGCTGAATTGTCAAAATTAAGTAACACTAGCCCCATTCCAAGAGGCCATCGGGGAAGGCTAAACTCATTTCAGCAATCCGGTTAGCAATAGTGTAGGAAATGGCTGCACTTTACATTTCAAAATTAAAAGAGTTCTAACTTCTTGCTTCAAATGTTAAATGAAGAACAAATGCGAAAAGATAATTGAGTAGAATCAGATTGAGAAACAAGTTCTTCACTATCATTTCAGACATAACAAAATTTTTAACAGCTATTAATAATATCTTACATCAGAACATCTCACTAGAACAAGAACACAATCTAACTCACTCAAAGCATCCACATCCAGCGAGGATACCCCAAAATTGCATCAACCCACATGCCCAACCTATGCAACAAGAGTGCTGGCGGTTGTAGACTCACTGCAAACCAAGAAGTTGAATCAGTATTGCAACATAAAGCTTAGGGAAAAAAACCATAAATACAGGCATGATATAGAGGGATAGACACACATGGTACATCTATAATCAAGAACAGTACAAAGTAAAGTAATTCAATCACATGGAAACCAAATTAAAATGTCCCTTTCTCCGCTGAAAAGTTTTTCAGGATGATCTAATGCTACGGCATAGATATATACACAGGACATTGCAAGCTAAATCATTTAACGAAATGAAAATTATACAAAATCTAACAATTCCCTCAAATTCTGAATTAGAAATGGTTTTGAGCAACCAATGCAAAGGTATTCATGCATTACAGAGAACTAAACAGACACGATATTCATTGGATCGAAAAAAAACCATGTACATGAATAACCTTTTGTAATGGGATCATGAGATTATGGTGATAACTAATAAATTCATCACTTGCACCATAAGATACTGCATAGCAAGCCAAGACAAACATAACATGAATAAAGGAACAGATTCAACAATCCAAGTTGACATTAATTGCAACAAAGCTCAGAGTGCGATCTTGAAAAGATGTAAATTGTATTTGGACCATGTACATTGAACGCAATTAGCATATGAAATCACCGTATCACCCATTGACGTTTTGTAAGAACACAAGCAAAAGGATATGAACATAAATGCAGACTTACTATTTCCAGACAGGAGGAAGCTTCTTTGTTTTCTTGTAATAGCGAGCGAGCCTGTGAATCCTGCTCTCAACAAGGATCAACCTGAACTTGGAGTCTTTGTCCTTCCTGTTTCTCTCCAAATGCTTGCGGATGGCAACAGCCTTCTTGATAAGGTGGTACAAATCCTCAGGAATTTCAGGGGCAAGACCTGTTGAAACGGTAAAATAACAGCACATAAAAAATAACCCCACAACCAATGCTTTAATCTTTGTCCAGCAACTTGGAATTTGCAAGGGACAAGATGCTTTGTTGCAAGCAAGAGAGGACAACAAAACTGACTAATCATAAAACAAAAGAAAGAAGAATATATTACCGTGAGCCTTGAGGATGCGCAAGATCTTGCTTCCAGTAACGCTCTTAACCTGAGCAATACCATGAGAGTCACGAAGAATGACACCAATCTGAGATGGGGTCAAGCCCTTCTTTGCAAACTTGCAAATGTTTTCCTCAACCTGAACACATTAACGTCAAATGACAAGAAAATATTCACGGGCATTTCTGTCAGCAAGGAATCTGAAAAGGGATTAAGGACTCACATCTTGAGCAGAGATCTTGAGCCAGCTTGGTGGGGTTCTCTTATAAGGGAGAGCTGAGGCAGAAATACCCTTACTGCAACAAAGAGAAAATGTTAATATCTATATAAGTACACGGACAAATACAATAGAGAGAAAGAGAGAGAGAGGAAGGGAAAGATACCCGCGACTATGCATGCGACCCATGTTGACGGCGGCGGTGGCGAGACCTCTCTCTTTCCTGCTAAGGTTTTTTAATGGGCAGTCGGCAACAAGACGCTAGCGCAAACCCTAGCTTCCTTTCTATATTTTCACACACTACATATGGCATGGATGTCCTCGGGCTTGGAATTTTGTTCCCTTTTCTGATCTGGATCAAGAGAAACGTGGACTACACTTTTTGTGCTTTGGGCTAAGACCCATGTTCTTTTAGGCCCTTTTTCACTAGTTCTGATAGGCCTGAATGCTAAAAAAATCAAAGCCTAGCTTGTTTTTTCTTTCATTCTTTATCAAGCCCAACAGTACCGCCTCCCTCCCCATGGCCAGCACCAATGATGAACACATCAAATAATTGCAAGAATTAATTGTGACCACGAAAGCCATTCAAGTCAGAAAAGGACAGAAGGTATACATAATTATACCCGCATTTTTTCCCCATTCGGACATAATTGATTTTCTTAGGCATTAAAAGGTATTCAAACATGGTATGTTTTAAATTTTTAAGTAAAAGCTCATTAGTTCATGGCCTATACTTCCCTGAATTCTTAAAATCCATTTGTGGTTGACAGCTTTTAGAGTAATAATCACGTCTAACTTGATCATATCTACCATAAAAGAGAATGTCTCGCTCCATCATACCATGTCTGAAGTCTGATCCTTCTTTTTTAGTTTATGACTTTACACCAAATTCTCAAACAGAGATATCAATCTCGTAGAAAATTGACGCAATATTTCTTCATTGTTTGGGCCAGCGTTTGGTCAATCATGTTAATGTTTTGGGTCCGTCTAATCTTTATAACCACTCAAGCGGCAGGAATTAATTAATAGCTGCAGAGTCCTTTATTTTATACTCTTTTTTTTTTGAAAGGCAAAACCTTTATTGCGGAAAATGAGAATATAGCAACAATCAGCAAGCAGTCGGGGACCAAATTGCCTGCAATATTTGTTGTTGTAAAGGAAATTACTCTCCTTGAGACATGGCACAACCCTAAATTCTAAATTCTCCTTCAGGCGCTGTCACTTATTGGACAAATGCCTAAGCTCCAAATGATAAGAGGAACTGCCCCATTCTAACTTTAATAAACAGCTGAGCTGAGTCAGTCTGGTTTAGAGTCCATTCCCCAACCAACTTCGAGAATCCACAGAAGGGATTAGAGGTCGTTTTTACTAATCATGCCAGCCAGATTGCTAGACATTGGCTTCAACCTTTTTTGATGAAAAAAAAAAAAAGAAAGAAAAGAATAGTTAATTGCTTTTAGGCTATGATTCTGAGGACAGCGGCTTAGTCAAAAAGCCTCTTGCATTTAATTTCAGTTAGCTTGATTAACAAGTGCCCTGCGGCTTAATTACTTGAATTGGAAGATCCAACAAAGTGATGAAAAGCTACACTGGTGTGCTAAATGACTTGCAAAAGCTACAAAAAAGGAACTTCAGCATAACACTTTGAGGCCACGAGCCCATATTCATTGGCCACAAATTTTCACTTAAAGAATAACTATAAATTATAAGTGTTTTCTTATTCTGTCGGTCTATTTGTTACAAAATACAAATATAATCCATGCCACACCCTTTTGCTACATGAACTCACAATTAAATTTAGGCTATTCTGTTTGTGCTGGTAATGTGCATGCCCATTAGTTTACTATGTCTTGAAGGAATCGATAATGGATATCCATGTAATCACATGTGATTTAAATTGTTGATAATTTAATAACTGTGTGTACATTGATTTATGAAATTCCAACCATTTATGTAGATAGGATTCCTGTAAGTTCCATATGAATCTCCTAACAAACATATTTCATGAATTAATGTTAAAATCTTTCGATGTTTGACCTCATGCAAATATCCTTAAAGTACCCCAGCCCGTTGAATGATGCCCACAAATAACGCTATATTTGACATCTGAGTTTTATTAAATTATAAAAGTACTGTACGATGTTAATTTTGTATTTGAAGCACCATCTACTTCCACAGCTAACAGTTGGCATTGTAAAATATCATCCTCTAAAATTCTTTTTTATTTTTATCTGTATTGACAATGCACCTGTTCGTGAAATTTTATTATACTAAAAAACTAAGACTATTTTATTGTTGTTTTCATAATCTACAATATAAAAAATTATTCTCAATTTATTTAATAATTTTTTTAAAAAATAATATCAAATAAATTTGAAATTCAAATATTAATACTGATAATTTTTCCTTTATTTTCATATTACAATTTTATTTATACATAAAAAAAAAAAAAACTTCTACAGCCTCATTTATACGAAAAAAAAAAACTATATACCTTTTTATGTGAAAATTAAAATTTTCAAAACGCAAGCAAGGCAATGGACATTGAGGTGGTCGGTGTGTGTTGGGTTTCTTAGACCTACAACCTACAATTAAAAAAAATATTATGTTTGGGTTGCTTAGATCTACAACCTAAAATTAAAAAGATTTCACATTGGATAAAGCCTTCTGACATCACTGAAACGGCCTAAAATCATCAAAAATATCTTGAAAGTATATTATTTATAATTTTTTTTACTATGATATTATAATTATTTAATCATAATAAAAAATATCTAATGGTCTACTAGTTATAAGAGTAGACTTAATAAAAAATTTTGATGGATCTTATATAATTTTAAATTATAATTAATTAATTATACTATAATAATTATAGATAAAATACTTCCACCTTCTTCTTCTATGCTTCCTTTTCATTAATTCACTTTCTTAAAAATCTCTTCGCCCTCATAGACCACCATTAATGCCACTACTAGTAGTGTGTACCAGACAACCCATCTGCTCTCTGCCACCAACTCTAAACCTCCATGGAGTAGCCACCAAAACGACCATCTACCACCCCAACCAAGACAAGCATATATATCAAACAATCAACAATAAAAAAAACCCCAGCCAATAAAACGTATCAGCATCTTCCTCATAAAAGCAGCAAAAAATTGGTTGCAATGGCTACGAAGGGTAGATGTAAGTGAGATTTTATAATTGAGTGAACAAAATAAAAAGTCACCTAAAATTAGAAAACTAATTTTGTAATTTACCCAAAAAAAAAAAGAATTCATTACTGCTATCCTTTTAAAACATGGGGGGCATATATTTGAATTTCTCTTTTTTTTTTCAAATTAAAAATAAAAGTTTATAACAAAAAAATAAGCTTCGATTGGTGATTTTGAATTTAAAAAACTGACAATAGGGATAAACAAGACTAATTAATTAAAACCATTGAAATTCCACATTTTTGGAAAGGAATAAATGAGTAGGTTAATTAGAGAAGATGGCCTGAGCTAAAGGCTAGAAGAGGTGGAGTGGAGTGCAGGCAGTTATGTCAGATTCTGTCCTTTCTGAGTGACTCACCACAATCAGATTGGTCCAACAAATAGAGTAATAAAGTTTGTACCATTTCGCGTTTGCTCATTTATCTATTTATTATTGAGTTATATTTAATGTTCGTATATAAATTTTATATATTACAAATAAAGTAGTAATATCTTATTTTAATAAATAAATAAAAAATTTTATAGAATTTTAAAATAAATATATAAAAATTTTCTGATCAAATTATCTTGGAACTCAATGTACAAGGTCTTACGCTTGAAGTTTCGCGTTAACATAGTAGCTTTTCAAATTCGAACTTCTTTACGGAGCGGGGGAAGGAAGATTTCTCCAATGCACAGAATAACCACATGGCTGACACTCCTAAGTACCGTAACAGACCACCCATAATCGACCATGTGGCATACGTAGTCCTGTGCTCTCTGTCTAAAGTTTCATGGGCCCCATCTTTCTTGTACTGATTGATATGGGCCATCGATACTTTTTTCTAAATCATACTACTAAGACTGGATTTGAATGAAGCGCGATTGAGAATCTTTTTTCTGTAATTGTACGCAGCTATCTATTTAAGTAACATTATCACGATTAAAAAATAAAAATTCTTAGACATAGACCATCTTTGGTTTAATTAAAAAAAATAAGATTCAGTGTGTTTAGTTCAAAAATTTTCATAAATTTTTTTTTAATTTTAATGATGGATATTTTATTTTTATATTTGATTTAAAATAATTTAATTACGAAAAAAAATCAAATTCTTAATAATATCTAAAATCTTGAAATCATAAATCATATCTTATGATATTTTAAGATTTTGAAAGAAAATATGCTTTATTTTTAATTTAACTTGAATAAAAAATAATAAAATAATTGTTATCTCATTGAAAAATATGTTTGAAAGTGATTAAAACTCAGTTATAGATTTTATACAAAAAAATATTTTTTATGTTATAATTAAAACATTTGGTATGAAGAAACATATTAAATAATCATTTTATACTTTTATAAAATGAATTATTTAAAGCATTTATATATAGAAAATGTCTTAAATAATTATTTCATATTTTAGAGTTTAAGGTTGATGTTTTTATAAAAGAATTATTTAAGGTGTTTTTGTATAAATAATATCTTAAATAATTTTTTTATATTTTTATGAAAATAGTACAAAAATACCATAAATAATCTTTTTTATATTTTAGAGTTTAGAGTTAATATTTTTATAAAAGAATTATTTAAAGTGTTTTTGTACAAAAAATGTTTTAAATAATTTTTTTATATTTTAAGGTTTAGGGTTAATATTTTATAAAAGAATTATTTAAAGTGTTTTTGTATAGAAAAAGCCTTAAATAATTTTTTATATTTTTATAAAAGGATTATTTAAGATGTTTTGTATTGAAAACGTCTTAAATAATTTTTTTATATTTTATAAAATAGATTATTTAAGATATTTTTGTAAAAAAATATTATTTAAATAATTTTTTTATATTTTAAGATTTAGAATTTAGGGTTAATATATTTATAAAAAGATTATTTAAAGTGTTTTTTTTATAAAAACATCTTAAATAATCTTTTTATAAATTAAAAGATAATTATTAAATAATTCATAATAAAAAAATATTTAAGATGTTTTTGTATATAAACGTCTTAAATAATTTTTTTATAAATAAATTAAAGAAATATTTTTAATTTTTTTCATGATATAAAAAAAGTGACAAATGTATTAATTAATCTTTTTTTTAACAAATTTTTCTATCAATTTCTTAGACTAAAAAA